GTAGTAGTAGTAGTAGTAGTAGTAGTAGTAGTAGTAGTAGTAGTAGTAGTAGTAGTAGTAGTAGTAGTAGTAGTAGTATCATCCATTACCCATTGTGAAATATGAAAAGCTAAAACCAGGGCCGACGGTATATATCCATGATGTAAGCCTTGCTTCGAGGTAACCATTCATGTACATCTGATAGAACTTTCTGGACCCGCAATACCCAATGTTAGTTAAAACATCTGAAATTGTTGCATCATCTGTGGAAAGAGAAATTTCTTTTTTTTAAAAACAAACTCTGATCTAATCTATTTGAGGATAAAGGGTTACGTGAACAACAGGATAAGTCTTAAAAGAAAAACAACCCTTAACATACAATAGCACCTTTAGAATGTCACTGTGAAATCGATCAAGTGACAAGTCCACTTATTTATTTACAAGCTGAACGTTTTAAAAAGGCAACTTAATTTAAAACCATGCTGAGGCCGTCAATACAAAGTGAAATACAGGCCAAATTATGGTAGGATTAATGTCACTTCCTCTGATTTTCACTTAACCCCTTCAAATCTATCGTAAGGTGTTTGACGCTATCCTGGACATGATTTAGAAAATTCAGTACGCCCAGCCTGTGACGAATACAGGATCCCAGCGAAAGGAAAGCTATTATCCTCGATAAAAATTCTTCCCTCTAGGGAATTGAATTCAGGTCTTCTGCGTGCGAAAGCTAAGTACCTAACCACTAATCACATACCCTAGTAGCTTTTTTATATATTTGTTTTACGGCGCTTGTAATTGCATAAGGTCAAATGAGCGCACGGGACACAATAAACATTTTTTGTTTGTTTGGTAGGAATTAATTTTGAATTTTTCCCGGGTGGCGGCAGAAGCCTACTCTTATCGATTTTGAACCTCCAAGGGATCTTTAACAGGCGCAGCTAGCACACAGGATCTCCGAGAGTTTTATCGAGAAGAAATGTTTCCGTCTTTGTCTGGATTCGAACCCGGGACCTATTGAATAAGAGGCGAACACCGTAAACTCTGGACCACGAGAGCCCTCATTAGTAGCTTTGCTTTCATCAGTTCTAGGGGACAATGTATGTCAGATTCGAGGTGAGCTGGTATAGTTTATGTTTTCTTTCGCATTTAGTTCATACAAATGCGAATACTTGACAGTAGATTTGTGCATTGTAATTTGAACAAGAACAAGAACAAGAACAACTTCTCTGACCTGAATAGTGGTAAATAACCAGGCTTTCGTCTGTTCCTTGGCATGGCTTATGCTCATTAGCTTCCACTTCTATGACCATGTGTTCATTAATAAGGGCAGAACTGGATTTCCGTATTTTCCAAATGCACGTCAGGTTTCTGAGAATTGATAATATAAATGGATGATATTAATGATTGAGAAGAAATATCAGCTATTGGTACTGAGTTCTGCTTGTATTTCATAGAAAGACAGAGAATAAAATGGTTTGGCCACCTGTTACGTATGTCACCTAACCAGTCAGCCTCGAGAGCATATAACACCCAGCACTCACGCTATAAAGAAAGAGGTAGACCACGCAAAAGATGGATTGATGGAGTCCAGGAAAACCTGGAAAAATCATAATATCCCAAATATTGAAAGAGCTGTGGAGCTGGATTACCATAGAATACTACATTTCCCCTCGATGCTTAACGACAACAGAGGATGAAAAAGTAAAAGTAAGTATTTATGATTGAGGCAAATTGTGTCATAGCGTGGTGGAATCAGGTGCTCGTACTTTTTGGGCATGTGGAGGTATTGGTATCGCCTTAAAGCTTGTTCATCTGTCTTGCTTTCAATGAAAGAACTACCCATTTATCTTGAGTACATGTCGATATATTTGAGATTAAATGTACATGAGGTGAGGGTCGCCTGGTTTCAGAGGCATTACTAGTGAGAAAATGGCCGCCAAACTTTTATTATTTACAAAGCCTCAAAGCCCGTGGAGGAAACTGGCAATTTACATTTGTCGTGTCTTTAGCCAAAGTTTTTCAATATAATCCACACTGAAATTGGTTCTTAAATGCACATAAAAGGTGTTGAGCCTATAAACAATATTTGAATAAGAATTGCTAAACCAGCGGAAAAGTATCAGTTTCTTTACTTTCTAATTATTTTGGTAAGCGCATGATTTTACCACGCTGCCTCACAATTAATTGTCCAAAACTGACACCCATTCCCGCGGAGTTAAGTTAATGATTGAGATTAAAGAGCAGTTAAAATTGTCCAAACCGGCCACACATTGTCCAGAGAAAAGATAAATGCCTAAGAGAGGTTACGTTTCGAACAGTGCCATTAGAATTAATAAACGGATGGGATTAACGATTGAGACAAAAGCACAATTAAAATTGTCCAACCCTCCCCCCCCCCCCCCCCCCCCTCCAGCCATCAATAATTGTTGAGGACAGATTATAAACGAATGATATTAACTCGTTTACGTCGTCCCAAATTTCTAGGTTCGATAAGCAGACAGAAGGTAACGTTACGCACATTCAAATCATTTTACACGAATCATAACACGAACTTGCATGTTTCATAATGTCCATGTCCTTGTCTGGCTTTTTGAATTTCGGGTAACGAATACGGTGCCGAAAAATCTGAATGAATATGAAAGTTACATATTTTTTATATTAAATCCGATTGTAAAACGCATAGAGCCTGCTTTTGAGCGGGAAATTTGTGCTGTAGAAATGCCATCGACGACGATGATGATGATGATGATGATGATGATGATGATGATGATGATGATGATGATGATGATGATGATGATGATGATGATGATGATGATGATGATGATGATGATGATGATGATGATGATCATTGTTATCATTATTATTATCATTATTATTTGTATACTAATATTATTATTATTGTTGTTGTTATTATTATTATTATTATTATTATTATTATTATTATTGTTATTATTATTGTTTATTATTATTGTTATTATTATTATTTTTATTACTATTATTATTATCATCATCTTTTTATTGATAATCATTATCATCATTATCATTATTAACATTATTATTATTTGTATTATTATTATTTTGTTATATTGTTATTAATAATATTATCATTATTGTTATCATTATCATGATTTCTAATCCCATAGTCTTAGTAACCCAGAACGGCCAAAAATTTCAGATAGAACTTAGCAATTCTGAGGTAGAGATTTTAAGAAAGAAAAATCAATAGAAAACGTAAGCTAAATCACAAACAATGCACTCATAATAAAATTTGTATTATGATGATTATAACAAAAATATCTTTAAAAAACAAGTGGAAAGTGGGAATTGATAGTTTGAAATGTATAGGTGATTGTCTTGGATGGCGGCTGTTGGAACAGATTAAATTGTCTATTGTGAGGGTAATTTCAAAAATGTTTAAATCATGTTTCGAAGCAGTATGAATTAAAAAAGAATTTCATCGCCCAAATGAGACCTATGACTTTTCATACATCTTTTAAAAAATAAGGTTAAAAACTGAGGCTGAAATGACGAAACAACCAAATTATGATATCGTGTGATGCCCTTTGATGTCTTACTTCGGTTAACGACTTTATTAAGAATTAACGACGCTGACGAAATATAACTAGATCTATAGGCCTTGATGTTTATGGTGGCTACAACAGGGTACAGCGACTGCTGACGATATTTTACTGCGGAACAGCGACGAATATTTTGATAAAATTCTTTGTTACACTTTATCTTGGCGTAATCGCCTACAGTGTCGAATACAGCTAGATCAGATATCTCTCATTTCGTCATGGTTTTCAACGTAAGAAAAAACCTTAATTGAACAAAAGACTTGCTTTAAAACAAAAATATGTTCCCTCACACATGTTGTTAAGAGATTGTTCTTTTTATTCATTTTTTTAAATCTCAAAGTTTTTAATTGCATCTTGATTAAACTGTTTGCAAAATGATACAAGTTTTTCGTTCTCACTTTCTTGATGAATACTTTGTTTCTGTAGTCTCTGGACTTTGTTTTACATAAAATTCATACTGAAGACATTTTACCTATAAACGCAAAATGCATAACTTTAAAAGTCTTGCAACGAAAGTCATAAAATGATTGGTTTGTTTTTTCCCTTCCTTTTCTTATTAACCTAATCCTAAAAAATATATTAACCTAATCTTATCGTCCACAGACATTCGTGGGATAATCTGTAGGCCCCTGCATCACAATAAAAAGAAAAACAGTGCCTTTCGACCAAATCGCCAAACTGTATACTGTACAGTGACTGCGCAGTGTGTAGGCCTTGCAGCTGTGACATCAGATACACAACGCAGTGGATGACATTGAAACATGACTTCAATTTCAAAATTGACAATTCAAAGACAAAGTCTGCTGAAGTTAAAAATATATGGCATCAAATTAGGTTAATCGCTAGTCATGTTGCTTATTTGATACCCTGATTCCAAAAATGAAATCGGTTTGCAGCTGCGATAATTATTTTTAAGATTTGCAAGCAAAGATTAATCCCTCACGACGCCAATCTTCAAAGGGATTCTGCGTCAAAGTTCGCTTCTCCAAAATCCTGACTTTAGGGGTAGGCTATAATAATATTACAAGATTAGTTATAACTGACAGTTGTCCTTCCTCTATGAAGTTGACAAAATGCAGCATGATGCAATCTTGGTAAAAACTTTGTACTATATTATTGTAATTTGGAACTGATATAATTCATTCAAAAGGAATTTGTTTTACATAAAATTCATACTGAAGACACTTTACCTATAAACGCAAAATGCATAACTTTAAAAGTCTTGCAACAAAAGTCATAAAATGATTGGTTTGTTTTTTCTCTTCCTTTTCTTATTAAGCTAATCCTAAAAAATATATTAACCTAATCTTTCTATCCCTGTAACCTGGTGTGGGGGGGGGGGGGGGGGGTGGGGGGTGGGAGGGGGGGGGGCTACACCTCAAAGTCCCGATTATACTCAAAATTATGGAATTTTGAGTTGTAAGCATTTTTAGCTTCCTCAGTCTCTCCTACAACTATTTCATTGCTTACGAACCACCAAAAGCCTTATTTCTCCTCTCACCGGGCATGTTTGTCACCACCATTTCCTCATAAATTCAATGTTTTATTTTTCTTTATTGGCCGTTTTCTCAAAACTCGATTTTTCTCTCTACCTTTTTGAATAACTTCATCATTTTTCATCCAATCTTCATGACATTTTCACAAAATGAAGAGAAGATATAACACTAAAAGGTTTTGTTGGATTTTTTATATATGGAATAGATTTTTGTTGGTGGAGTCTGGAGTGTGGAATTTCACGAATTTTTGTTCAAATTTGACTACTACCTCACGGAAAGATTTATTCAACATTTTCAAATTCGTTTAGGAAAAAAACAACAAATATTTTTTAGATCTAATGATTGCTAACATGATTGCAAAAATCAATCAGTTGACATGTCAACAAAAACCAATATGGCCGCCGTATCTATGGAAACAAATCTTTTTCTCAAATTTGATTTTGGATTTTAAGATCCCTTACCATGCTTGTTATATGTGTGAAATATGGTAAAATTTGGCCCCCTAATAAGCGAGATAGCCTTCAAGTATAGCCCCCCCCCCTTGTTAAACAACATTTCTTTTTTCCTACAGAGTCTTTAACAAATTCTTAAAATTTTGGAATTCTGAGCACCAGTGCTCTATATGTCTTCCTTTGGACTCGACGCATTTTACAACGTCGTTCGTTATGTTCAGTGGTGGCCAAACGCAAGGATCTACCCAACCATGAGTACTCAAAGCCACACACACACTGTACAGCTTACAGTATGGTGTTGTTTCAAGGGATGATAGGGCGGGGTGGGGTTGCCCAATAGACAGCATTAGTGGAGTTAACATGTCCTGAAAGGTGCATATATCGGGGAATCATGAATACATTGCTATCTTCGCCAACAGGAACATGGTAAAACAGTTGTAGATGAAGATCTGCCTTGAGAATGCAGATAGTTTAGATGGAGGAAAGTCCTTGCTGCAGACATTGTCTATAGACAGACGTCTCTTGGGAGTCGTCGACTGAAGTCTGAACCCTGGTGACGTTTAGAGGGGTGTAAACAGTGTGTGTAGTTCTGATTCTCTACAGGTCCTAACTGAATGGCCATTTCCACCCTTAAATTCAAAGAAGGCCTTAGCTGTTAGAGCATTTTAACAGTACCTTGTGCGAAACTTAGAAAATGAGTTGATGGTGAGGTTATGTTCAAAACAAAAAAGCTCTCTGCTCTTTACTAATCTTAACCATAATCTCAGTAGGCGTAGGAAACATGAGAAAAACTATCTGCAAACTTTTGTTGGTTTGTTAGACTACTGTGGCTTACAATATGGTGCAATCGTTGGGACTTATAGTGGTAAGCCTAATGCGAACTAGTGCGTCATGCTCCAAAAAGGGGGACATAGCCGAAAATGGGTTTTTTTCACGCGCTGTGTGGAGCAAAACTGTTTTTTGGATTTATGTACAATGAATATTAGTCAAATTCCTTTTGACTTTTAAATGTTGTGTACAAATTTGAAAAGCAAAACTTCAGTATGGAGGAAGAGCTTTGCAAAAAAGGTGTTAAGTTTTTGCGTACTTCTAAGTCCAGCAAGAATAAGAGTCACCCTCAAGAAATTCCGGTAATTTTGATAATATGCTGATTCCGAATTTGATATTACTTTTACGAAAGAACGTAGCATTTAATAAGCTTATAAACACAATTCTGTCGTCGGCGGGCTGCATCGATACCATGATCAATACCATCAAGATAAGGTTTTGGCTATGTGCAGTCGCTGTTCAGGGACGAGTTTTGTTTCCTGTTTTTAAAAATAGAGTCGCTGTTATCGGGTCCTCTGACTCGTGAAAAAAAAAATAAACATGTTTTTCTCTCTCCTGGAAAAAATACTTTATAGGCTTGTTCTACAGAACAGTTGAAGCTAAATGAAGGGCAAAAAAGATGGAGGGGTGCCGAATATTTGATCATGATAATGAGATTGGTTTTGATACTTGCTTTTTTTTTTATTCTCCCCACTCAGGAATCGAACTCGGTACTTCTACGTGCAACAGTGAAGCGCTTAACCACTACACCACAAATGCCGGTAGTCATGACAGTGGTCTATCTGGGAGTACAAATCTATGGCGTAAAGATACTCACGAGGGGTAGAAGTCAGGGTAATATGGTGACGTCACTCGTTGTGGTACACGTGTGGCTGTCAGATCCGTGTTTCCACACTTGGGGACTACAATGAGGAGCGAGATCGGTGAATGTAAGTGGATGGTTGTGAATTAAGGATTGAAAGTGAATGATTGAAGGTTGATTATTGTAAGTGGATAGTTGTAATTTGATGATTGCAGTTTGATGACTAAAAGAGAAAGATTGAACCTTGATGATTGTAAATTTTTGACTGTAGGTTGATGATTAAAAGTTGATGAAAGTAAGTTGATGAAAATAAGTTATTGCAAGTCGATGACTGTAAATGGTATGTTGACGTAAAAAAATTGATGATTGCATGTTCGTGACTGTAATTTAATGAGAACAAGGGCAAGGCAGGCCTCGACATGAACGCCAAGAAAACAAAAACAATGATCATATCAACATCTACACGAACAGGCACAACAATAGATGGGAAGAGAATCGAGCAAGTGCGCCAATTCAAATATCTATGGCCAACAATCACAGACGATGGCAGAAGTGAAAAAGAAATAAACGTAAGAACAGCAACTGCAAAAACAAGATGCATCTAATTGCAAGAACTATTGAAATCCAGGCATCTATTTCATAATTCCAGGAAAAAAATGCTGGAATACTACATCTTCCCCCCGCCCCATATTCTTATATGGGCCTGAGACCAAGACTTTGACAAAAGGAAAAGAAGAGAACAAAATTGTTGCGTTTGAGATGTAGTGCTACCTCAGAAAGGCCAGAATAAGTTGGAAAGCAAAAAAGACGAACGTTGAGGTGTGTCAGATTCTCCACACAAGACAAACCCTGCTGAATAAAATCATGTAGAAATATGCAATACTTTGACCACTTAAAATGACAAGCATACGAAAGTTTTGTAATTTGTATTGCTTTAAAGCTGCTTGTAATACAACGCTGTACAGTTATTTAAGAGGCGGAACCTCTGAATTTAACGCCTATCTCAGATAGGACCAAACTTAGAAGGAAAATCAATGTAAAGTGGCTTTTTAAATGACGCAGTAAATGTCCGACCGAGCTTAGCCTCGAACCCTCGACCCCTCGAACCCTCAAACCCTTGAGCCCTCGAATCCTCGAACCCTCAAACCCTTGAGCCCTCGAACCCTCAAACCCTTGAGCCCTCGAATCCTCGAACCCTTGAGCCCTCGAACTCTCGAACCCGGATTCTCACAATTACGGGCCCGGTAGCCTGACCACAAGACCACCGACGCCACTAAACAAGCTTACTTCGTTCATCAATTATTTCAAACGTGACGTTGAAAGACTGCCATAGTTTAGATCCAAAAGAAAGGTCTAGCTCTAGTGGGAAGCTGGAGTAAATCCACTGGTCCGAAATCCAGTTGTCTCCAAAAATCATGGGTAGCTTCTTCGGCGGGTCTCCGTCATCCCCGGGTAACACTGGAGACAGTTCAAGGAGAAGGGAATGTGGTGAGGGGAAGGGGGACGAGTAAGTTTCGCTTTACTTTGATGAAGATACTTACGACAATTAATTTATGAAAAAAATCTCTTCTGTGAAATGTGACTTTTATGTGAGGCTGATCAATAGCTTGAAGACTGAATAATATACACTCACTTTCTTACGGCAATTCAACACAGTTAGGTCTAGTGCCTAAGATTATATAAATAGATGTACCTGAGAATCAATAACATTGACAAGTGATTTGACTAAGAGTGTTACAGCACTCACAAAATAAATAAGCTCTTATATAAGTGCTGAATGAAGCTGCTTAAAGTCCAGAAAGCGACATTTTAAGGGGGGGGGGGGCTACACCTGAAGGCTATCTCGCTTATTACTAGACCGAATTTTACCAAATTTCACACATATAACAAGCATAGTAAGGAGTATGAACATCCGCAATCAAATTTGAAAAAAAAAGTTTCGTTTCCCTGGATACGGCGGCCATATTGAATTTTGTTGACATGTCTTACGTAATGAATACCGCACTTATCGCTAATGGAAGTTGATTGGTTTTTTTAATGCGTGTTTACAAACATTAGATCTAAAACTTTTTCTGTTGTTTTTTTCTTAAACGAATTAGAACATTTTTAATGAATTTTTTCCTGAGGCAGCATTCAAGTTTGCAAAAAAATCCGAGAAAATCCACACTCCAGACACCATCAACAAAAATCTATTCCATGTGTAAAAAAATTAACTTACAAATTTTTAGTATTGCATCTTCTCTTCATTCTGTGAAAGTTTCATGAAGATTGGAGGAAAAATTATGAAGTTACTAAAAAAAAAGTATAGATAAAAGAAAAAGAAAATACTGACTTTATGAGGAAATGGCTGTAACAAACATGCCCGGTATGGGGAAAAATACGGTTTTGGGGGGGTCTTTATGCGATGAAATAGTTGTAGGAGAGGCTGAGGAAGCTAAAAATGCCTACAACTCAAATTCCATAATTTTTAGCCGATTTTTGACTTCGGGGGTGTAGCCCCCCCCTCCCCCCTTAAAGTATAGCTTAATTGCAAGGTATCTGTTTTTTTTTATTTTTCAACATTTAGAATTTGAATGCTGACAAAATAGTTTCTCTAGAACGTTCAACCGAAACCGTAGCTAAAGAAATTGCAAATGGATAATTGTACGAGTACATGTGGGCTGAGTACATCTGAACATCTTACGTTCAGTAAATGTTCGACTATTTGCTTGTCTTACCTTTTCTTACAGTCAGCAAATGTTTTCTCAACGGTTGAGAGTCGTTTAAATAAGGGGATTGTAGCTGGATGCGTACTTGTTGACCTTTGGCAAGGTCACTTGCGATGGTAAATCGGCATTGACTGTTGCTGAGGAGCGTAGCAACAAC